AGCCGCCCCCCCCCCCCCCCGCCCCCCAGCAGACTAGGGGGACGGGAGTAAAGCCGCGGAGCATGCCCGCAGCGGGACAGCCCAAGTGCGCCCGGGCTGTCCCGCTGCGGGCGTGCTCCAAGGCTTTGCTCCCCGTCTCCCTGCAGACCAGGGAGTTTATGGGTGAATTGTTTTCCCCCGGGGCTTATAGAACTCCAGTTGCACAGTAAAGACAAGAGTGAGCCTTCCTTGATCCATGCTTGTAGTAGGATTAATATAGAAGTTTATTGAAATAAACTATACTTATCTTAAAAAGCACAATTACTTGCCCTCATACTTCTCCCCTGGCTTCCCATTCATTTAAAGATCCTATGCAAAAGTGCTCTTCCTTATATGGAGTTGCTCTAGGCTCTCGTGAACTTTGTCTTTCTCTACCCCCCTTTCTTACTCCTTCCCCTGATGAAGAGCTTGGTGTCTTATTTGACCTTATTTTCAGTGGAAAGCCTGAAAAGACTCCCTTGAAGCCATTTAATTTTCATTTAATACATTATTTACCTACAAGATTGGCGTTCTTTCCTACAGGATAAATACACAGGTAGTGAGTTTTAGTAAGGTGTATACAGTTTGCATGATTACTAAAGCTCTCTGGTATTTAAAAATATATATTAGTAGCTGTTTAAAGCAGAATTGTGTACCAGATGGCCCAGAATTTTACCTTTGGAGCCACAGCATCAGATTCTAACTTTATGATATCTGTTGCTCTACTGAATCCTTATGGCTGGTAACATATATAATAGTCAAAAAGGTGTATTGCAAAGGAGACTGGATGCTTCAGAAGTAAGCAATGCATGCAACAGAACTTTTCAAGTCTACACTAGTTAAATCTAGTCCTGTCTGTAGTGATCAACAATAGTTACTATCTAATAGCTGCAGAGACTGTAAGAAGAGACCACATGAAATAAAATGAAAGTTTTAGTCCCTTTTCTACTGGACAAATGTATTTCACAGAAAAACCACATTAACAATTGGTGCTAATATACTTTCTAGCAGTATCATTGGAGAGAGGCTAAGGATTAAATACTATGGAGAATGACGTATACTCTCTTTCTTAGGTGGTCCTTCCAAAATTCATTGGACAAATTAGAAATAATATATTTTCATGGCCTGTAGTGTAACTATGTATTTAACAGATAGATCTGGATTCTAGGAGTGCCTCTTAGACATTCTTCATAAGAACAGATTCTACACCATACTTAAAAAAGAACAATGGATTTTAAAAATCCTTTAGAAAAATAGCCACTGAATAGATTTAAGCCTGTAGTTAGACACAAGCTCTCTTGATTACCCAGAGTAACAACTGAAGGCTTGCGTCCTGTGTTATTAATATTTAAAAGTTTAACATTTTGCCCACTTTTAAACCAAAAATATCAAAAATTGATGAACCATACTGTACACTAGGTCTTTAGCTTTTGGTGAACTGATGAACCATTCCGAACATTTGCAAAATAATTTAATAATAATATTCAGTATCTTTCTTATGTTTTGTTTATAGCAGTTTAATTTTAAATTTGTTTTTATTTTACTTCAACTTGAGAACAGCTCTCTATATCCTGAATTTCAGCACAAATATATATATATATATATATACTGTGTTATAAGTAGGAACATTGTCACTGCCTACTATAAAACATTAACGTCAATGTTTCACTGTAATAATCCTTTCCAAGTCTGTGTCCAGACTCAGGGTTTTTTTTTTTTTAAAGTAGCCTTTTTTCGAAAAAACTTCACCTGCGTCTAGACTGCAGCCGCGTTCTTTCGAAATTAAATCGAAAGAACACGGCTTTTCTTTCGACGGTGGGAAACCTCATTTCACGAGGAAGAACGCCTTTTTTCAACAGTGTTCTTTCGAAAAAAGGTGTTCTTGAATGCCAACAGGACTTGCTTTTTTGAAAGTACTGCTTGCAGTCTAGATGCTCTTTTTCGAAAGAGGCTTGCAGTCTAGACATAACCCAAGGGTTTTATGGGTCAGGAAATGACTGAGTTGAATGCAGAAAGCACTACCTGATAGGTAAAGGACTCTGAATAGGTTCTTTTACTATAATAATATTTTAATGTAAAGATACATGCTCTTTTCCTTTTTCTCATGCTTTCAAGTAACACAAGTAATATTGGAAACAATTAAAATTCTTCTAGTGTTGCTAAGTAATCAGACCATTGGATTGGGATGAATATCATTATTTTTATTGTACAGTCTATGCATGTTAAAAGCTTATTTTGGGTTTTGGATTTAAACTTGTGTTTCTTTCTTCAGTAAATCAGAAGATAGTAATGGTGTGGAAAATAGCACCACGAGGCAACGAAAAGTTTAAATCAGTTCCTAAAGGAAGGTAAGTAAAAGAGAAGATGTATTAGAATCAGCTAAGGATAGTAGGAAGAACAGAGTTCAAAATAGATGACATGGCACCAGCAAAACAGAGGAAAGACAGGGAGGGAAGTCGAGAACTATGAGCAATAGAAGAGAGAGAAAGTAACAAGCTGATCATTGTGAAAGAAGTGACAGAAGGGTAGAGGAGGAGAGTGGGTAATTGTGAAGCATGGCAAGTGGCAGTGGAGAGAGAAAAGATTCAGACAAGGATTCCACCTGCCTGATTCTCTGCCCCAGTTACAGTCCTGGCACAGACTACTTGAATTTATGCCAGCTGGCAATCTTTCTAAAGGACTGTCTGCCAGCTGGGGACAATAGTACTGTGTCTGATATGCCTTCTGTGACATGAGGCTCTTTTTGGGAGTTTGGCATTCAAGGGGCAACTCTGGCTGTACATTTACGGTCTCTTCCTTGGTAACAGAGGACTTGCAGAAAACTTCCACTTTCTTTGAATTTGACAATTGGGAAGGGAGTAACATCTGGACCAAAGCAGAATGTGATTAAAGATACAATATTCAGAAATGCCTGATTGATTTAAGTGCTACCAGACCATTTGTTGTTTTTTTATTTAAGATACTAAGTCCCCCATTAACTTTCAAATGCCCCTAAGGGCCCAAATCACTTTGGAAGATGGGAGTTAGGCACCTTTAAATGCTTTTTACTCCAAATCCAACTCTGAGTCAGAATGAAGTTGGAAAGCAAATAAAGAAATTAGAGGACAGAAACAGGCATAAAATAATTTATAGAATGCATTTGTGTCAATAATTTAAAGTATATGTTCTGTTTAATTCAGGAGAATTTGAGCCAACAAAAAGGAAATATCATTTGGCCATCACAAAACCACAGGAAGATGTACATGGCTATGCATTTCAGATATCTCCAATGCTTCTAATTAGGACTCGTTAGACTTGTAACAAAATAATGAAGATCTACTCTGCTTTTAAAATATAGACATGAAACTGCCTCTTTGCCCAGACTTCTATAAAGTCTATACTGTAGCCTGATATTACATATGTACACTCAAATGTCAATTGTTGTGTTTGTGTCGCCTTACTGGTAAGAGTCAATCTGTATGCTACTCAAGACTTTCTGGTCTCAATCCAGTTGATTAAGAGACTGATCTATAATTTTTGGTTTCTATATTGGGACTCATCCTGCATTAATAGTTCACCCAACACATCTGTTGACTTCACTGAGTGAGCAAATGATGCAAGATCAGAACCAACGTAAGCTGACAGTACATTTTACAATGTGAGTTCAGTTTCACAGCATCTTAGACCAGAGAAAATAACTTTTACTGGTAGACAAAGCAAATGTGACACACAAAAAGCCATTTTTTACACCAAAGGAAAACTCAAGGAGGAATCTTTATCCTATTTCTCACGTGATATTAAGGGTTTTATCATTTCCTGTAGGAAAATTCTCAAACCAAAATTTGTTTAACATCAGTTGCAATTAGGAGGTAATAGGTGGTGCACTCTGGAATTTTAAGACGATACACATTGCCTTAAGATTTCCTGTCCTAACACAGAGCCATTTTTTGTAGAATTATTTGACATTTTGTACTTTATAATTTATTAAACAAATAAATAAATTTGGCATTAAAAGGTCCTAGCATTGACTTATCTATTAAAAGACTTCCTTTATTAGGCAACCTCATTTGACAAAATATCATCACATATAATAAGTTCAGTTATTCTTTATCTATGTTAGAAGACAATACATCTTAAGTGACCATTTTTGTTGGTCCTTTTAGTGGGCATTTAAAACACATTTTATTGTATTGCATATTTATATAGCGTTTCATCCCAAAGAATCCCAAAGTGGTATTTTAGGTCAGGAAGTGAATTAAAATAAACATTCTGAAATAAAATACCATAATATAATAAAAATAACCTGTTATGATTCTAAAATCTGGGGAGAACATTATCTAGGTGGAATGTAATTAACACAGACTTGTGTGTAGCCCTTTGGGTTAATGCCCCTAATCGTACACAAATTGCCATAACATCTTTAATAACCACAGATTGGCAGGGCTCCACTCTTACTTGTTATCCAAAATAGAACACTTCTGGAGCATTGTTAAATCTACCTCTGTGCTGTAGCATTCTTGACTATTCTTTGATAGATTCTCATCCAAGTGCAGAAGAGGCTTAATTCCACTTAACTCGTGAGACTTGGTAGGAGCGGCTCCTGGGAGAATTCTGTACCACTGCATACATGGAAAATGTAAGGGCTCCACTCTTACTTGTTATCCAAAATAGAACACTTCTGGAGCATTGTTAAATCTACCTCTGTGCTGTAGCATTCTTGACTATTCTTTGATAGATTCTCATCCAAGTGCAGAAGAGGCTTAATTCCACTTAACTCGTGAGACTTGGTAGGAGCGGCTCCTGGGAGAATTCTGTACCACTGCATACATGGAAAATGTATGTCACCACCGATCCGCCCCCGCCCCCCCCCCCCCGCC